ATGGGCCGGTCGCCTAGTCCCCGCCGGCGTGACCGAGATGACAGGCGGGAGCGCCGTGACCGTGATCGTGATAGGGATAGACGCAGGCGAACACGATCACGATCACGGTCACTAGAACGCAGGCGACGATCCCCAGACAGAGAAAGGCGGCGCTCGCCTTCGCCGAGACGACGGCGTTCACGGTCTCTATCTCCTGGCCCAAGCACCTCCTTCGTTCCTAAACCTAAGAAAAGTTACGTCGAGCGTCCCATCGTCACCCCCGCTGATTTAGAGGGAAAGTCACCAGAAGAGCAGGAAATGCTTAAAACGATGGGCTTTTGTGGCTTCGATACAACAAAAGGTAAGAAAGTTGAAGGAAATGTCGAAGGTGACGTGCATGTCGTTCTAAAACGTAAATATAGACAGTACATGAATAGGAAAGGAGGTTTCAATCGACCGTTGGACTTTGTCGCATAATGGTATCGCACAATCTTGGACCTGCAGGGTCGTAGCCATGTGATAGTTTTAAATCTTGTCCTAAAATCTAGTTTAACTGGTTTTATTCCTATAGAAAGAACCCCATCAAAATATCTCTCACCTAAATGCAATCCTGTTGGAAGTCTATTCATATTAGGGGTGTTCAAACTAGTTCATAGCATTAAAGAAAACTAATATGGGGGACAAGATTTAAAACACATTTATAGATTTAAGTGTTATATACAATTTTTCAATTCTGTATTTATTTAAGTTATAGCTGTGATGATATTGAGAAACTAAAAATGAATACGATAAGCCTAATAATTTGGCATTCAAAATTGGAAATTACTTTCAGGACTCCCGTGTTACAAAAAGTTTACAGATGCACCTCAAAAAAATTTTAGGAACAATCGAAGAAGGTAAAATTTGTCAAAATTTAACATGATTCCTGTGAGAAAATTATAAAGTTTATATCATAGCTATAACTTAAATATTCTATAAAGCAGCTGAGTTTATTCAATTAAACTATTTTACGGTGACAATATAAATTCAGCTGTTTATGTTTTGCATAAGGATATCGGTTTAGCATCTCAACTTTGTATTACTAAACTCCCACAAAGCTTAGAGCTATTAGTTATAACTGAAAACACATACACTACCCATCTCTATCAGTGATAATATTGTCGTTTTTGTAGAGACATTCCATTTAATAAGATTTTTACTATCTTTAGACCCTGCAGTCATTAAATGGCCTAACAAAAACAGTGGTTGGAAATAATCAAACATCAAAAATTAATAAGTTGTTGTGTGTGACTTGTTAGTGTTTGCTGACAATCTACAATTAACATTTACATCTCGAGATAATTGGAATGTTATATACACATGTTACCAAACATGAGAGTCTTGCAAGTTGAGATGTTATTACCAACTAGATTAGGCCGTTACACAGTGCCCGTGCGTTGCTTACGCCCGCACGGTGCCCAAAATAGCGCCATGCGCACCAAGAAACATTTTGAAGTTGGCTCTGAAGCGATTTGTAAGGTCTTAGTGAAGTAATGGAGTTACTATCTACCCTCATTCCTAACAATATTATTTACCTTCTATACAATCTGCACTTACCAGATTATCTTATAAGCTCCAAGCCATTTAATTTAAATTATTCAGCCTTCACTAAACCGTTAATAAGACTGAAGCTAAAGTGCCTTAGTTTTAAGTTTCCCGCGCGACGTGTCTTCAATAGATATATTTTTACACATATACACCCCATACCCCCAATCCTCCACAACTACAATAGTTAAAGGTTGTCGAGTCATAGTGTTGTTTTTTTTTTAATTTTCCATAAACGAATACAGCACTATGCCACGACAGTCTCCATAGACAATATACAAATGTTATATTATTATTGTATTTTTATACGCACCCACGTCGCGCGGGGGGGCACGCATGGCATATGACATTACGTCAAAGCCAACTTCACTTGTTTGTCACAACACCAGCACCCCCCCGAATGAATCAAACTAGCGAAAATTTCAAGGAAATTTTAATATCAAGAAAAATATGATTTGGATTATATTTGTAGCACAAAGCAGAGTTGTTTGTTTGTTTGTGGACTTTTGGCGATGGTCCAGTTAACAAAAACTCATGCAATTTGAAATTTAAAAATCAGTTTTACCACTAACATTTTTGTTTAATCACCAAACCATTTAGTAATTTTCCATTGGAAAACCAGATTCATTCCCACGTGTATATACCACGTTTTTTTTAATTCCAAAATTGTAAACTTTCGGTCATAAGTGTAAATTGAAATAAGTATAAGATGTTTGTACAATTTCATTAAATTAATTTCATTGTAATTCTCAAACACATTTATTTCTGTTATAAAAACGTATGGTATCAAAAAATGTGTTTAAGGGCTTACAATCATTTTAATTCCGTATTGTCTACGAATTTTTACTAAGCCAAGAGATTTTTGATTCCAATTTGAGTGTACCTCCACAAAAATTTACAATTCTGTTTTGAATTTTGTAAAAAAAAAGTCTACTCTTAACTCTTGCATAATTTGAGACGATAAAACAATCTTCTTAAAGTTCGATTTATACGATGATATAAAAATGATTGTGAACTCTTAATAATCTGTAGTTTTCAGTACTATAAGTAAAAAGAACGGAATGAAAACACAAATTAATTTTTAATGTATGTATATTTCGAATGACAAAAAAATACAAATTTAATTTGAGACGTTATTTTCCACATTTGTTTTCGTCATATGTAATAGAAATAAATGCTTATGTATTTTGGTTTCGTAATTTCTGTTTGATCACAGATTTTAAGGTTGGTACGAAAATATTGTTTGTGATCAAATGTCGAAAGTTTGAATTAAATTATGAGTTTAAAATTTGTTTTTTTTACCTACCCAACCCCAAACATTCAAAAAATAAAAATTCTTATGATTCTGTGCATTCAGAGTTCAGGGGGGGGGGGGGGGGGGGGGTGGGGTACCCCAGGTAGTGGGCAATTGGGCGAGTTTTCCATGTGCAATTAACACTTGCTTGTAGTTGCGTAATAAATCTGTTAGGCAAAGACAACACCTTCGGGATAATAAAGAAAAAAAGATACTTGATTATAGGGGTCCTGGCGAAGACATAATCGATTCGGGTTGTTAGTTCTTTCTGTTCCACCTGAAGCAATATTTCTTGATGAAACTTGCTTTAAGTTATTAGACAAATATGTCTTACTTTAACATCCTCTCGAAGGTAACTATACCATTTGGGGCCCGTGGCAAATTCTTTTGATGGGGATGGATATCAGTAAAAATCGTCACGCACTCAGTTTAATTTTAATAAACTTCGAGATTTTCAGAGTATTCAATTACACGTTGTATATGTCCCACTAACGGCCATAGGCCTCCTCTCTTAGGCGAGAGGGAATGGTCTGTAGTCCCCACGCTAGCCCAATGCGTATTGGAGACTTCACATTCATCCATAGAACATAATACCTCTTGGGCAGGGGCCCGTGGCATTTTGCCACCCTATTGTTACGCCACTGCCTACTAGTAGCATATTCTAGTTCCCAGTCTGAGTTCTTAGAAAAAAAAGCGGCGAGGTGCTGCACTTCGTCCGTCCTGCGCCCTCGATTAACCCCACGGTGGCCCAGGTCCGCAAGCCTTGCAATAGACGCCTAACCTCGGCAGAGCCCGCGATGAACAGCAAGATCCCATTAAATTAGTTTTTATAGAATGTGAATAAATGATGTCCACAGCTGCCCACTAAAGTATTCCCGAACCAATTCGACTTTAGAGTCGTTCAAGAGCGTACCAATTCCTAAAAGGCAACGAGCACTCTGGCATTGTGTGTCCATGGGCGTCGATATCCGCCCGTTTGCCCCTCATAAAAGAATTATGAGAGGAACAGATGCCATCTAAGTCTATGGTATAGGGATATAGGTACAGCATTGAAGGTATGAAATGAAACAAGAAAGACAATATAATATATTTATAACATTTACAACACTCATTCACAACACAATGAAAATCATAATTATCAATACATTTCTATTACTTGATATGTACGCTTATCAAGATTTTTATGTTACACAAATATGGGGTCGATTTTTGAATTGTGACGAATTCATCTCGAGTTGGCCTTTCGTGCAAGCGAACAAGGCTTCGAAATGCAAAGGGAAAAAAGGTGATTTCGATTCTGTAGGAAGAAGGGGATAAGCCTCTACCTGCTCCAGCCCTAGCAATCTAGGAGCCGATCTAGTATTACGCAAGCAGATTTACTAGAATTTATCCCCCCCCATTCCTCTTGTCAGCAAAAGTAAGCAAAGCTCTCAAAAATAATAGTACATAAAGGTATTAATTTGTAGGAAAATCCTCGAAAATGCATTTCGTTTTCAATCATAGACAATGTGTGGCTAATATGTGTAAAAAGTAAATAACTACTGTTGACGTAATCACCAAATAAGAAAATCAAAGAATAGTGCTTAGGTAATACTTAAACGACCCCCTAGGTAAAAAACATAGTGGTCAGCCTAAGTATGGCTAGAGACGCCTTTGTCAACATATTTCGCCGAATTGTAATTCAGGTGCAATTCAAAAATCGACTCCCAATTAAATTTCTATTGAGGCCATATCTCGTATACGTAAAAAATATTGAAAATTAACAAAAGATCTTGTATCTTAAATAACCATAACAAACTAAACAGTTCTTGAACCAATTATATGAATCTGTCAAATACAAATTATGACATACTTGACGTTGACGTTGACGTTACGTCAAGTTCGCTCTATGGCCTCTACTCTACATCTTAGGCTTAGCTCGGGACGTATTTATTAAGACGCATTGTAAACTAGGTATTTCATCTATTTGATTAACATCGTATAAGATTAATTGTATTTTTTGTAGAGGAAAGATGTACTGTACCTTTAACTTGAAGAGAGTTTCAGCCGTAAAGGATATATACAACTAGCTTAGCCATTGGAGTCATCGTGGGTTAGTCTGGTAGAAGTCATCCCTTAACGTTTGAGGAACAGTACACCATCTTTCCTCCATTTTGGTGACTATGACGTGACGCTCTTTCCCTATCTGAACTGTCATGATATTGTCAGACTTAGTGCTTGTACCCTTATGGTATATATTTTATTCTTAAGTGCACCTAAAGAAACTAAGCTATGAGCAAAATTATTAGGAACTTGAGAATGCTTGTAAATCACTTACTATGTCTTAATCTAAAAACAACCAGCAAGATTACTATGTAAAACCTAGCCTAATGAAATCCTTCATAAAACGTTTAAAGTTAAAAAAAATAGTCTACAGGATTCTCCTAAACTGCTTAACCGATTTCTATCAAATTTGCACACTGTGTGCAGTTTGATCTAACTTAAAAGACAGGATAGCTTACATCTCAATTGATACCTGCAATATTATTTTATTGCAAATTATTTGTTTATTATTTGACAGTCACAATTCTAACAGATGGCGCTGTGTTGAAAGTACCAACGTTTCACATAAGCTACAATTTAATGGCATAACCACCAAAAAAGCATGGTGGTCCCCATGACTGGTGTTCTTCTACCGTTTCCCTTGAATAGTTTACTACTATGTAATATAACAAAAACCTTAGCCACTGCAACGCTTGGCCGAGTCTGCCAGTTTTATATAAAATGTTTTCTCCTCTGAAAGACAAGGCAAATTCAGATCCTCTCCAAGCCCCGAGTTCCAGGCCCAGTCCATCAAAAACACAGCATCACAACTCTGGGGTTACGTTGGACTAATATTCAAAATACTTGTATTCATTATTTGCAAAATTGGTAATTTATAAATATACTAGCTGACCCGGCAAACGTCGTTTCTAGGAAACATTTTTTTAGTTCAATAAAAATATCTATCTACTAAAATACAAAATAGGGGTTGATCGTAGAGATAAGAGAGGTGAAAATGAGGAGTTGTACCTATGTATTTTTGTATGCTGTATCATAAAAAAATAAATTGTGCGTGTACTAGGTGTACACACGTAAGAAGTGAAACTTCTTTATGATCTTATTTTTCGAAAAATGATCTACTATATGCAACTTTACAGAAATTTGTTAAATTAGATAAAGTTTAACAAAAGGCTTTTATTATCATAGACATGAATACAAATATTTCATTTTACCTTATTACTACGAAGATTATTATAGAATTCCATTAATTGTAATAGAATTATTACTTTCATTGAAAAACGTGACGATTTGCTACAAAATTTCTCCCATACGTCGATAAAGAAGTTTCATTCCAACGCCGATAAAGAAGTTTGACTTCAAAAAGCAACATGGCGCGTAACCGAAAAATGTGACGCGTAACCGAAAATGTGACGCGTAACCTAAAAATGTGACGCGTAACGAAAAAATGTTACACTAAATATTTTTTCCAACCTCGATAAAGAAGTTTCACTTCAATAAAAACAAAAAAAATTGTCCAAAAATAAAAATAAATATTTTGTGATAGATATTTGGGACACCCCTTATCACTTAGGGGTATAAGATAGTAGCCGATTGTCAGACCTACTGAATATGTATATAAAATTTGATAAAAATCGGTCAAGCCGTTTCTGAGGAGTATGGTAACTAACATGTGACACGAGAATTTTATATATAAGAAGATTTTTCAATTTGTTAGATAATAATTGGAATTGGAATTTTATTGGAATTTCAATTACACTATGTGCGCTGTAGCATGGTGCGGGTGACTGTTGCATTACTACAGTTATTAATGCTTTAATATACTACGAAGGTACAGCTGAAATACTAATAGTGGAGTGCCTGGAGCAGTCAAAACCGTAAAACCTCGGATTAGAGTTACAGTGAATGAATTAATATGATCGATGTGGGATATTGTTTTTTAAACTATACATTGTAATGTTTATTCAAAATTTTTTGTGCACTCCTATGTTCCATTGTTTAAACAAATTATTATGAAAAATTAATGTTTGTCCATATATAAGTCACAATTTGTAAATCGCGGCAAAATTGAAACGAAATGTCACCCGCACCATGCCCACATATTCTAGACATTAGTTTTAAAGAGTAACCCTGCAGGTTGTATAGCAAATAAATTATGTTATATTAAAAATAACTTTTGATACATTCATGTAAATTCCAGCTATAAAACAATATAACATCTAAAATAAATAATCATAAATGCTATACAAATTGTAAAAGCTATCAGATCTCATTGTGTAACTTCCAACCACGCTCAACCCGTCCTATGTTCAAAAAGTATTCTTGTGAAACAGTAGTTTAGATATAAAATTGTTAGTTTTATGTAGAATTTATTACGTCAACCCAAAATCATTAAAATGTCAAATGGAAGAGACTAGCCCACGACACAGGGGATCCTGGCACTCGGTCAGGTAACGTTTTACTATGGTTGGGGGATCATCTATCTTCTCAACCTTCCCTTCAAAAAGGACTCTTCTTGTGATTTATTGTCTTGATACTTCATGCAATTACTCATTTTTATTTCTATTATATAATTTTTCCGAATAGTTAACAGGTATAATAGCCTAAACTTTGTTTTATTTGATAGAATATTTCGTTTCTTTCACAGGAAATCTGGAGGATGTAGGAGTCGATGCAATAGTGAGAATTATTGGTAAGCTCACTGATTTTGAGCAGAAAGATAGTAAAAATCCCAGAACCAGTACTTTAAAGAAATAGCAATTTTTTTTATTCTGATTTTGATTATTCCGAATTAAGTTGTGTTTTATAATAAATATAGTTTTCCATGCAATGCTAGTCATTTTAAGTATCAATAGTAAAAGACTAAATACATATAGTATTTAATCTCATAGAAATACAGTGACTATCAATATAAAAAATAATAAAATAAAATCAAGTATCAAGTAAGTTTAATCCACAAAATATATCTAACTTTTAGGGATACCATACTAAAATTTTTTGAATGTGCCGCGATTTTTCGTTATCTTTTTTCATTAGCCAGACTCTGTCTGTTCATCTCTTTATTTATATTCTGTGATGAAAAAGATAGCTTTAGCAGTTTGACTGAATTAGTTTCTATTAATTAAAATGTGAATTTCCTTTATAATAAAACTATCATATTTACATACATAGCCAAAATTTATTGTTTTGTCTCACTCTTTTCACTCTAAATGAAGTGAGACAATCTATCTGAGGGTATTAATAAGTTTATATTATTATTATTATTAATGTAGATTTCTTTAATAAGCAAAGCCATTCTCTAGTTTTATCTTAATTTTATTGGAAGCATATTTTCCCACTAACATATTGCATTTTAAGAATGACATATACAGAATATGACAGATGACACTGTCAACACAATGTTTGTTCAAATGCTTTTGATCATCACGTCGTATTTATTGATTTATTTGACAATAAAGTCATTATGAACATACTCTATTAGTAAGGTTGTCAAAGTGACAATTGACTCATCATAATTTGCCCTTAGTGCAGTTTGAGTATTATTTTTTTGCTCTCATCAAAAATTTTATGTAAAATAGAGTGCCTTCAATCTTATGTGGTATTTATTTTAAATTCGGTATCCGGCTGGATCTAAGCTTGAGCCGCATAGGCCGGTTACCGGATAGTTACCGAATATCCGTTTCATCTATAGTAGTAACAATGAGTTACTGTAATTTTAAACATAGTGCGCGTGTATCTCCCTATCTATGTTATATGTATTATTTATGACATAACTTCACATTTAACTTACGTATTATATTGAATACTTGCCCCAAACGTGTTTGTCAATAGTAAGTCAAGTACTATGAAGTAATACAGTCCTTCGTAGAATTTCCCACATTGTTTTGACATTTCTGACAGCCAATTGTTTTATTACATTTCGACATATTTCAATCTTGTGCATGTATGAACTTCACATTGGCATTTTGATTATACATACATAAAGATAATCACAAATTAAATAACAATTACATTATAATGACGTAAAAGAATACTGAAATTTGAGATCACATCTGACTTTATTTTGACAAAATGTCTTACTGAGAATGGTCATGTGTTGTTTTGACAACCATTTCATCGTATAATAATAGTCAGATACAATATACGTACGTACATTTTTTAATAGTTTTGACAGCTATTAGCATTCATTATTTCTTTGACAACCATGTACATATGAGGGCATTTTACATATACTAATTTAAGTAATACATATCAATAGACAATCAATTTACATATTCTTATAATCACGCAAATTAGTCAACTTATAAAAGCATTAAGATCATAGTTTAGTTTTGACATTATAACATAACTTAAATGTGTTAGACTTGAGATCATGTTTGACTTTGACAACCATTAAGATATGACAACATACCTTAAAATGGCGATGCCTCGTCCAATGTATGAAGCCAGTTGAATATCATCATGTTACGCTCATACTTAGACAGAGCCCTTCCCCGTTCCCGCTCAAGGTCGGCTGTTGTCAAAGCTAAATGTGCCGCTTCTGAAAATGACATTTGTCAAATTCAAAATAATTTATTCATTTAGGTAACACAATGTACACTTATGAACGTCAAAAAAGAAATATATGTGAAATTCTTCTAATTTTTCATTTACTGCCATTTAGTTCTCAAATCAAGGGCGTAGAACGGAAGAGAAGAACTGGCAATGAACTACCCACCACTCTTTTTAATTACCAAGTTTTTTGTTTTACACAATGTTTGTAAGCTGCAACCATTATACCATGTTCCACATGACATCTTAAGTAATAATAATACAATAAATTAAAAACAAAGATTTGTCCTCTATCAGCAGGAGGCATGGTGAAATAGGAGCACGCACTTACACTCGTGGGAACAACACGCAAAATAATAGGGCACATTTTTACATTTAAAGCTACTTGAGGGCCTTGAAGTGGGAGCCTCTTACATAAGGAAACGCACTCGCAAGCCGCCTAATGTTGTGTCCATGAGCGGAGATAAACATTCAACTTTAACTGACCCCGTTTGCCTCCCGTCCCAAAAATAATTAGTGATAAAGGGAGCGTTCACGTATTACGTAACGAATTTTTTTTGGTCCTTTTGTAAAACGTTACGATTCGGGGCGGGGAATAAATTACGCGTTATTGCTAATATTATTTTCGACTTTCCAGTACTTTAACCACATAATGGTAATTTTTTGTTTTCCTATACTTGGGTACAGAAAAACGTTAGATGAAAAAAATTGATGTCAGAAACAACGGAGGGTAGGACGGCCGAATGTATAAAGGCCAGCCGTTCTTGCAAGGCATTTCTCTTTGAGCCGTCGTGCTGTGCGGACGTCCGTTAAGGTCACAAATCACTATGATATTATCTATACTCCGATTTTTAATTCCGTAGAATTCTGACAGCTATAATTTTTTGACATTTCAGAGATGGCAAACCTTTTTGGCCGGGCACATTTTCAAATTTCAATACGAAAGTCAAAAGTTAAAAAAAAAGTTATTTGTTAGTGAATGTATCCATTTTATTAAAAAGGTTTACCAAACCTGGAATTAGTAGACAGTGATGCCAGCTAAAGTATAAAATAAAGTAATTAAAGTTAATTCGATATATTGTTCGTGATAGTTAAATATTTGTTATTTTTGTATTAGGTCACTTAGAAGTAAATATTTAGATTTACCTTTTCGTAGGTAAAAAATAAAAATGCTTAGCAATTTTTTTTACTGCCCTCAAATGGGTCAAATTTGTCCATTTCACGTAGCAACTTTTTTAGTAGCAACACATATAAAATGATTTTTCTAATAAATGTTTTTGTGTATTAAAATTACCTTCATGAACGAAACTTGTGTTTTTAGTTGGCACTGTGATGGTGATAGGGCCCGGATTCACAGCTGATACCGCACTTGCTGCGGCTGCCTAACAAAGAAATAATATTATTAATAACTAGAAGCCCCCAGGAACTTCATCTCACCTTAATATGGTAGCCTTTTAGTAGCTACATACCAACACATGGAACTTGCTATGCTTCACCATAGAGACAATTTAAATTTTCAAGACAAGCAAGAATAACAAAAACAAAAGATCACGAAAGGGAGCGTTCAAGTATTACGTAACACGATTTTTGGAGATTATTGTACCCCCCCATGTAAGTCGCCGTAACGTTCAGTACCCAAGTATAGTAAAATGTTTCGTGACCACCTAGTGACTCTTTAGTTACTATTATGTGGTGTAAGTCGAAAAACATATTAACAATAACGCGTAATTTAATCCCCGCCCCGCAGCGTAACGTTTTACAAAAGGACCTCCCCCCCCCAAAATAATACGTTACGTAATACTTGAACGCTCCCAAACATACAAAATCTAAGGCAAGGCAGATTGGCTTTCAAAGATCACTGTCAGAGTATTACTTAATACTATTATATCAAACAATGTTCGTAGGCGAGTTTAACAATTATTGCATTCCCAAAAAAATACTGAATAAAAAAAAAACTTTTTCAGTGGCGCTACAACCTCATTAGGTCTTGGCCTCAGATTTCTGAATCTATTTCATGAGTATTTTTAAATCTTAATAGGCAAGTAGGTGATCAGTCTCCAGTGCCTGACACACGCCGTCGACTTTTTGGGTCTAAGACATGTCGGTTTCCTCACGATGTTTTCCTTCACCGTTCGAGCAAATTTTAAATGCACACATAGAGAGGTAAGTCCATTGGTGTACAGCCGGGGATCGAACCTACGACCTCAGGTGTGAGAGTCGCACGCTGAAGCCACTAGGCCAACACTGCATAATTGAAAATTAGCTTTCTAGATAAAAAAATATGTTACTTAATTTTTTTTACCTCTAACTTGTCCAAATTGAATTCAGATTGAGACATTCTCTCCAATGCTCTGTAGGTCGTAATCAAACGTCGTTTGATGTAGCTTTGGCGGACCTGAAATTTTTTTTTTTATTAATTTAGAAAATTTTATTATGTTTACACTAGCGAACTGTGGAATCGACTCCCGGTGGGGGTCTTGCCTCAGAGATAAGACCTCCAAATGTTTAAAGGGCGACTATACTCCTCCCTCAAAGGCCAGCAACGCACCCACAAAAAATGGGTGTCTTTGGGCTTCGAAGACTGCCCTTTTTGGTCGTCCCGCAAGCTCGTTTGCCCCCCTATTATATATAAAAAAAATTAAAAATAATGTATGCCTCAAAAACTACTAAACCGATTTTGATAAAGTTGGACTATGGATTTTTTTAATTAAATTAAGTTTTATTTATTTACAGCATACATACGCCAAATTTGAACAAAAAATATTATAAAACAATTAGACATTTAACTAATTTTTATACCAGAATCTATTCGACATTTTAATTTTTTAATTTTACACCCACACACAATTTGGGAATTTAGGTCACGTGGAAGGCAAGATAGGCACTGAATCTAATTCCAACAATATAGACATTATCATTTATTACACACAAAATAAAATTAATTGAAGAAAAAAAATAATAATAATAATAGCACACAGGTCTTCTTTGAAGTTGGTCAAAAATGGCTAAAATACCTTTTTATTGTCAGTTGGAAGCGTCCTTTGTGGGAGTGGGACCGGCTGCGACCTTTGTGGTGATGGTAGCTGAGAACCACCTACTGTCAAATGGTTTATTAATTCCAGAAATTTATTCCATTTCTTGAAGTGAAACTTCTTTAGGCGCATGAGGGTAAATTTTTTACTGATACGTCACGAGGTTGTGCAGCGTTTTTGTCGAAGAAAAGGGAGAGAGCGATTGAGACTGATTGAGAGAGAGTGATAAGGGCGAATTACCTTATAGAAATTCTATTTTGAAAATTAAAATTTCGTAAAGAGAATTTATGAAACATTTGTATTTTATATTTTATGCAAAATATTTTATTGAAATCATAAATGACGAATTGTAAATTATAATGCCACGTTTTTTATAATCGAAGAAATAAATTTATTGATTTTCGTCACTTTTAATATTTTAATGACAATTAAATTCATTAAATTCCTAACATATCTTCCTTTTTCCCTCCCTCTTAGTCTCGGAAATCTAAAGTTTTAGATTTGTATAAATATGAACAAGACTTAAAAATTAGTTTGCCAAAGAAGTTTCACTTCTGACATGTGTACTTTGTACGCACGCACTTTAAAAAAAAATACAAGTATAACTAACGCTTAGAGGCACTTTCATAACAGAGGGCAACACTGGTCATACCTATCAGTGTTGCCTGTTATGTTTGTTACACTGAGTTTATCAATTAAACACACATTATATACATCAGACTATAGGTTGTGTCTCGAGAGTCGATATAGCAGTGACGGACGGAAATATCAATCATAGACAATCACTATACTCTGATTTTTTATTCCGTAGAATTCTGACATATTATAAATTTTGATACTAAATAAGTCTTCACCGAAAAAGGGACAAATTTGACTTATTTGAGGGCAATAAAAAAATGCTACGTATTTTTTATGTTTTACCTATAAAAAGGTAAATCTTAATATTTACTTACTCAAGTGACCTAATACAAAAATCACAAATACTTCAATATCACGAACAATATATCGAATTTATTTTAATTACTTTATTTTATTCTTTAGCTGGCATCACTGCCTACTAATTCCAGGTTTAGTAAACCTTTTAAAAAAAATGTTATCTTTACTTTTGCGTTTTTTACTGTTTGTGATGAAAAGGGACGTAATTATAAGTTGCCGTATAACCACTTTTAATGTTGAGCACCGCAATTAATAGAATTAATACATTCACTAACAAAGAAAATGTTTGTATAGAGTCAGGTGTTGACTCGTATTGAAATTGAAAAATGTGCCCGGCCAAAAAGGTTTGTCATCTCTGACATGTCAAAAAATGATAGCTGTCAGAATTCTACGGAATTAAAAATCAGAGTATAAAGGTGTGCATATTCATAACATATTAAATAGTGATGTTACAACAGCCAACATGCCTTAGACAAAGATGTTTGATGCTCAGTATCTTTGGTTAAGCAAGCCCCTGCAATAACACTTTTCTGTTTAAGACGCCTTAATGGCTTTACAAACTCAAAATAACTATGTATATGTATATAGGTAAACAAGTACTTACTTACTACTAACTTATGACTTGTTAGAAAGAAGTTAAATTAATTGAAAATTTACATTTACTACCAGTTTGCAAGTCAAGGGCGTAGAGCGGGTAAGAAGAATTGGCAAGAAACCTTCCGCCACTCTTTTTAATCGCTAAGTTTTGATACAAATTGTTTGAACTGAAGCAAATCAATCCCAAGGATTAGGATCATTTAAGTATTCCTCAAATTTATAAAAAGCTTTATTGATTAATTTCCGTTTAACGAGAGCTTTGAATTTATTTAGCGATAATTCTCTAATTTCGCTTGGGAGTTTGTTGTAAAAACGAATACAATTTCCATATAAGGAGTGGTTTATCTTCTGGAGCCTGGTGGTCGTACACAAATTAGTTCTGTTTCGAGTATTATACTGGTGAGTCACCATTTGCTTTAAAATCGTTCATAATTTTTTGTACATATAACAAGGCTTCAAGAATATATTGACCAGATAGTGTCATAATATACGAGTTAAAACGGGTTTTTTGACCTTTTGATAATACTCACCAGCCACCCAAGTGCTGCAAGAACGTGATGCTGCATTCAAAGTTAAGGCTTCCAGGGCAGCGCATAGACCAACTTCTGAAGTCGCGCTGAAAAAAAACATATAAGATAAAGTGTTTTGTCTCTTTCTGTTGAATTGTGTTTACGCTATGATGAAAGGAGATAGATGATTATTTTAGTTAACGTTTTACGCCCGAACCCAATAACCTATCTCAATCCATAATCCACCATCTGAGATAGTAATTCTAATTCAAATGTTGCAACAACTGTGCCAATAACCAATCGACGGATTGTAATAGCCATCTGTCGATACAAACTATCCATGGGAGGTCATATCGGTGTCTGTAGATAGAACTATGTATAAAAATTACAGTTGACGAAAGCTCGATTCCAACAGTTAATTATTTTAACAGATTTTAACTTACACCAGTTTTATAAATAATAAAAAAAAACTGTTTGTTATGTTTTAAACATACACATGTATATTTTAATGTTATTTGTACGGTTTTATTTAATTTATTTGGTTTACATTGATTTTCAAATACGAGTGAAAACTCGGTAAAATGGAACGACAAAGAGCATTTTATACGTCGCCAAAAATGGATTGTCCTCGTGAGGTTTGGTTATTGGGATGCAGATAGGAGATCGATCGACTATCACTGTCTGATTGAAAACAATCTGAGACTGTCGATTAATTAATGGGTTCGGGCGTTAATATACTATTACTAGAGTAATCCGTATAAAACTTAGCTAATCAAAGTGTATGAGTAATAATACAGTGTATACTCTTTATAACGTTGAAGTCAGGCACAGGAGGCTGATCACCTACTTGCCTATTAGATTGAAAAAAATTAAGAAGAAAAATTTAAAAGAAATCTGAGGCCCAGATCTAAAGAGGTTATAGCGCCACTGATGTATTTTAAATAAACTGAAGTAGTTTTTAAAATTAGGTACCGCTGGATCGACAGAGTGGAGTAGAACCAGCTGCAGCTGAAGACCGGCATTGACGGGAGATAGCACAGGATAGGGAGCGGTGGATGATTCTCAGTTCGGAGACAAGACACTTTTTCGATTGCAGATTCGATTGTAATAAAATTTAATTCTAAATTCTATTTTTTGAAGTGAAACTTCTTTAGGGGCATGAGGTTAAAATTTTTACGGATGAAACGCAATAATAATAATATTAGCGTCACGAAGATGTGCAGCGTTTTTGTCAAAGAAAAGGGAGAGAGCGATTGAGACCGATTTAGAGAAATGTGAAACTTTTCTAATTAAATTCCTAACATATCTTCCTTTTTCCCTCCAAGTCTCGGAAATATAAAGACTTAAAAATTAGTTTGCCAAAGAAGTTTAACCTTTGACAAGTGTACTTTGTACGCACGCACTTTTTTTCATTACTTACGATCTGACAGGCGGTGGAACACCCGGAGCAGACACATCACCAGCACTGAATGACCTGCGAAGTCCCAATTGGGCACAGAGGGACGCGCAACCTGCCAGTAGGTCCCGACAAGCGTCACTCTGAAGCGGTACTGCCGGTGAACCTCGACGAAGGCTGGAATTTGTTTAATCATATTAGAAAATTTTCACCTCAAAAAGCTATACATCTTAGCTATCTGTTTAAGATATCACAAGCATGGACTAGTTTGTCATAGTCGTAGAATAGTGACGTACTGACAAATAGTAAACTTTACAGGGCAGCCATTTCAAAATAATATAATGAAGTTAATTTTTTTGTCATAACTTTTTTAATTAATATTCTGTACTTATGAAAATTGGCATACAAGCAAACAAAACGGTTTGTTTTGAAACAAAATAAAATAATAACATTAAATTACACAGTTTTCTAGAAAAATCACATGATTCTATCAAATCCGTCACTTTACCGACTGATTAATTTGAAATTTAAAAACACATGGAATTTTTTTTATGTAGCCGTAATATTTAGTCAATGATCGTCCAAATATGATAAAAAGTGAATTTTGTTTTTTTTTCAAATCGGACATTGTTCTACGATCATGACGAGTTCTTCGGATTAATACCTGCAGCTGAGTTTCATCATCGAACATCGAGGCAAAATACGAAATTCCATCCGTATCACCTCGACGTCCGTCGTTCCACACTAAGCATTTTTTAAGGAAGTTTTTATCGCGCACCACCACTGTGTGGAACCAGCTACACCGAACCGATTCGACTTAGGGACAAGAAAAGAGCGTAAGTACCAATTCTTAAAACGCCGGCAACGCATTTATTACTAGATCCATAGATTTTTCCCTTGAGGACTTTTTCATAGTATTTTATATTAGATTTATTTATTATTCTAAGGGTCTGTTTCACAATGTATGGATAAAGTACCAAATAGCTATGCAACACATAAATTATTTGGAAGATAAATTGTGCTATTTGACACTTCATCGGACTCATAACTTATGATGAACTTTATGTGACGAATAGCGCTATCTGACAGTCGTGAAACGCAACAATAGTGTTTATCCTACCAATAAGTAATAAATAGCTAATTTGAAACTCCTGTAGATTGACATCCGTACATTGTGAAACAAACCCTAAATAACATACAAAAAATAGAATTAATTACAAATGAATCAATTTTATTACCTTAATGCCTTTCCTTCAGGATTGGGACTAGCAACACGAAGTGATGGCTCCGGTCCTTGGCCAGCCTGGAAACCATTACATAAAAGTTATCAAAGAGCTTTCACAACTGTACACTAATGGTCTGTTCTGTGTGTGCACTTCAAACTTGGTCATATGGTGCAGGAAAATATAAAGGAAACCTGCATGCATTAAACCAAAAAAACAATGATTGGGCAGACTCCTTCTGGACTATTAAGAAAGAGATCAGCCTACTGTACCTGACAAATGCTGTTAATATTAAAATTGAAGGCATACCCGATTTAAACAAAGTATGTGCAAGTATGGGCCACATACCTTACAGGCGAGCAACCGCAGTACTCTAGCATCAGAAGCAGCAGATGAAACACTAAACAGGGACAAATCTGTTGTCACTGATTCATGTGATGGGGAACGGGCTACCCCCATCCCTCTCCACTCCCCCGTGCACATCTCTACTAAAAGTGAAAACTTCTTTTTGACAAAGTATGTAAATATTTAAAAGTAATATTTAAGAGAATTAGATAATGGTAAAAGGAATAGTTGAATTTCCCAGAATATTTATTATATTTTATTAAGAAAAACAAGGAAACTCAATTGTAATAAATTGTTCCTTTAATAAATATTTTTTCTAACAAATGTCACAATTATATATTATTAAATCGTATAAGATACAAATCAAGAAAAGAATTAGTTTATGATATTTAACTAATAATTTAAAAGAGATATATAAATAAGCTTTTTGGTAAACAAACAAGCCCCGGCACCTACGCCGAAAGTTTAAACAGCAAAAACATTGGTTTTATTTAAAAAAAATATCTCTTACCACTCGTATTAGGCTCCACGGCGATTTTTTTTATGAAAGCTCGTTTGATATATAAATAGAATTATATTTTTTCTGTATAATATAGTTAAATCGGGAAAAATTCAAGGTTTTTGCGTCGATTTCAACTTTCAAGTTCAATGTCAAGTGTCAGCTGTCATATTTAATTTGCCAGGGTAAGTTTTCTGTGATTGCAATTTCTTAGCTCTGTCCTATAATATTATAATTCAGTTATCTAATCCCAATTATAAATTACATTCATGATTAAACTTATAAATAACATTAATTATTAAGTATTTTTTAAGGATATGATATTTAACCTTGAAGGAAGTGTTTACACACACAGTTTTTTATTGAAAACAGATGGCGCTAGTTACCGGAATCTAATAACCTCGATGCTCGAGTATTTATTTAAAGGCTTTTGGTATAATGATTACCAAGATAATTTTTAACCTAAATTTTAAAGGTCAGAGAAAAGGATCACAATGAAGTCGGGACATAGATGTGACTTTAAAGCTCTTTTCGATTATTTAATATTTAAATAGGATAATCATTATAGTTACTAATTGTTGGTACAGAAGAAACATAACTAAAAATATTTCTTTTTATAACATAAAAGTCAAAGTCAAAACTCATTAAATCACAGCATACATTATAAAAAAATATAATTAATGTTTATTATTGACCTCAGTACCTTATGTATAACATTTTTCTCTTAATGCTTACGCAAAAATTGCGTAATGCTTACGTAGCCTGTAGCCTCAAAGTAATAATAATTTTAAAATTATGAAAGACTACGTTTTATTTTCATCTGAAAATGCTTAACTTAGAATAAAATTGAATACGAAATAGTTATTTGCGTCGTATTTAAATCGTATACATAAATATTATTACACTTATTGATTCCGTTTGAATCGCTACATGCTATCGTCCAACGTTGAGTTTATCAAGGTATTGCTTGCTTAAGATTGGACTACATGACGCTGTCGCAATAAAATACAATTTATTACCTACATATGTTCTCCATGCCGACTTGGTCATATTTCTATCAACAATTGCCATATACGTAGAATGTAATATAGTACTCAAGTATATTCGTAAAGCCTCAAGTGTACTTTTTAACCGACTGCAAAATTTGAGCAGTTCAACTCGATGTTTCTTTTGTAATTTTACAAGTTTCTCTAGGAGGAGGCTTTTACCCAAAACCCATACTGCAGAACAGAAAGATACGGAATTTAAATACTGAACAAAAACTAACGTAGAAGAGCATAATAACAAAACTAACAACCATTTGTAATTTTTTAACAGTATTGAATCAAAGTGACTTTAATATTATGTATAACTTTCAAATTACTATGGAACGGATTTCCAAAATGACGGCAGATGTACCAGAGTAGACGCAGGTGTTACATGTTCCACAGGACAATTGTGTTTATACATTCCAAACTACTGAATGCTATTGAAATTTTTCTTAGTGAAATCGAAATTGCGTATTTTATATTTCAGCCCTATCTGGGAATCAAACACGAGACATGATATGCAGTCTCGTACACTAACTAAATATCGGCAATAGACATTTTTTTAAATATGAAATGTGAGAGTACATACTCGTGTACTTGAGTCTGGTTAACCTATTTTATTATTGTAATGAATCTTATGTTATTTATATTAATCTAACCTATTTTAATATTATTGTTGTTATGTTATACAAGACACTTTCTTTAGTGAACTGTGGAATCGACTCCCGGTCTTGCCTGGGAAAGAGTATACTCCTCCTTCAAAGACAGGCAACGTACCCACTAAAATCGGTGTCCGTGGGCTGTGATTTGGCCCTTTTTGGGCGTCCCGAGCGTATCGAATAAAGAAAATCAACTCCTGACTTATAAGTTAATGCTTCGCTAATTCAACTAGGACAGGTTAAAGGCAGAGATTACTCACCGTTACTCGTTATTTTAATTGATATTAAAATTAAATCGCCATGTAAACCCATCTTAACTTAAAGCCGAATACATAAACAGAAATAGCGTCAAGTACTATATCATTGTTGTATATACTGGTTGTAGCAAATACAAAAAATAAGTCAATTTAAAAAATGTATTAATTTGACCCTTTTGCTTTTAATGTATTTTTTTTATGCCTGTCGTATTTGATAAACTAGTATGTATTCTCTCTCTCTCTCTCTTTTGACACATGCTTAGAATATTTACTTAAATAAAATTATAAATAAACAATAAATTAACACTTTAACTCCACGTTTTCGACATACACAGCTCTCTATTAGCGTCGACTTTGAGTGTTTTTCTATAACTGTCAAAACATAGACTATTAATAGTCTTAGTACGTCGAATGCAATTTTTTTTTATATGAGTTCTGAATATGACATCACAAATTTTACACACAGGTAGGTACACATCAATTATATTAAAACATAAGCAATCTAGCAAGGGAAAAATTAAACAAGCAACCACAAAATAAAAAAAACTTTAAAATATATATAATAATAAACTTAAACCTCACTAAGAGAATGATAAACAAAGTTACGGTAAGTTGGAAGATTGTTGTAAAATATATCAATATTTTCGTCGATGTTAGTAATTGAGTTGTAAGAGCAAAGTAGGAATTTTTTTTAATTCGCGCTTAATGAATGCTAATTAATTTAATTGCTAATTATCGTATTAGCTTAGCACTGTAAGGATGTATTTCTATAAATAAAAAATAAACTTAATTATAGGTTTTAGGAAGAAATCACTGGCGAAACACACAAACAAATTATCAGCGAAACACAGTAAATAATATAATGTTACCAATGAAGTTGCCCTCATGTGGGGCATAGGCCCCACGTTGGGAAAAAAAAGCCCTAAGTCATACTATAATTATTTATCTAGTCACTTTGTACTTCGTCGGTTCGTACTGACAGCAGCATGAGTAATACACATGAAACGTGTCACACTAACGCACACATTGACAATTCAAACATTCGTTGGTGTGTTACTAACGAATATTATTTTTTTAGGGATTCCGTATGTTTTATATTTCAAGTAAAAATTACTTTATTATTTTTCAAACTCAAAATAACTTACTACGTAACAAAGTAAGTAACAAAGTACACTTATGAACGTCAATAGAAAAAAATGTTAAATTGATTATAAATTTACATTTACAAGAACTGGCGAGAAACTCTCCGCCACTCTTTTTAATCGCCACATTTTGAGTCATACAAATTGTTTGAACTGGAGCAAATCAATCCCAAGGATTAGGATCATTTAAATAATCGACAAATTTGTAAAAAGTTTTATTGATTAATTTACGTTTAACGGGAGTTTGGAATTTATTCATTCAGACAAATGTAGCTGCATATTTTACGGAGCTAGGATATCTCGTGTGCCTCTATCATTTTTAAATTCCTCTGCTTGAATTGACCAGGACTCTGATCTGTAGTGTGGTATACTTCAATAAATGAATATAACTTACTATGATTACCGTTGTATTGATTTTATTTTTAATTTACGCCGCAATGACATCATTCTATTATTTGAGAAAGAGTATTTACTGGTTATCTTATCGCAATTGTATTAATCTTATTACTCATAGACTAAAATTTATGATTATTAGCGTCTTTTATCACTTTTTAATTTATTAAGATAGCCTCGCACCCCCATTTCAATATTATTGTTCCTAACAACTGCCAAATGGGTAGCTAATTAAAATTGAGCGCTTAACACTAACATAGAGATTTATGGTGATTTGACAGTTGACATTTGACTGATGTATGTGGCTTATATTCTTTCATTTATTATATAATAAGAATAAATACATTACACGTAATAAACGATTTATTTTTAAAACTTCAAACCTAATGGTTTATTTAAAAAGAATGAGACATCGAGAACTTTCTCTGTTTTAATTTATTATAGAACTATTTTACATAAGTGGGCAACAATATTTTGAAAGTATAGTTGACTTATCAGCGCAGAATAGTATTCCATAAGAAATTGTTTTAAACGTAACATAATCTTGTCATATATTTATTGGTTGTTAAATTGCGTTTTTATGTTTGATTGGTTTGTTAAAACGGTACCCTAAGTACGTAACTTGAATATTTCTCAAGATAATAAGCAATAATGTTAATTAAAATAATGTAATTGTTAAGGAAATTTTCTTAGCACATAGAGGTCATTCAAGGACATTTAAAAGTACAAATAATGAAACAGATAAGAACGTTTTTTAAAACATTAACTTCTTAAGCGTTAGTAGTACGTAAGCATCAATTTGACAGTAATTGTCTTTATGACAGAAGTTTTTTGAAAACGAAAATATTTATGGTTATCTGTGATACTGTAATTTTAATTTTTTTGCTAATTTGACATTACTTAAAATAAATAATTATTTAACGATACCAACATGGCGATACTAAAACTCATAATATTTCGATAACATATTATTTCATTTACAATAGGTACTCGGAAATAAGGATAAAATTGTTTATCTTTCTGTATGTTTTGCTTAAACTCAGATATATCAGACCCATTTCAAAATATAATAAGAGTAAAAAAAGATTAGATTAATAGCATTTAAAACCATTCAATCTGTGAACGATTTTTTGACGTTTGACACTTGACATTGCAATTTG